CCTCAGTTAACCCATCCTTTTTACCCTGGTTGGACCCAGGCACAGTGACCAGTGGCTGCCCCTCCCCCTGCCTGCAGAAGAACATTGCCATGGGCTACATCAAGAGTGAGCACAGCAAGGTGGACACAGTGCTGACTGTGGAAGTGAGGAAGAAGAACTACTCTGCCCTTGTCAGCAAGATGCCCTTTGTGCCCACCCGCTACTACACAATCAAGTGAGGTGCTTGCTGCTAGTTTTAGGGGAGCCGAACCAACTTTCCCCAACAGTGATCCCTGCTCCTGGAGACTCCTGTGGTGGGGGTAGGGGGAACTGCTCAGGGTATTTCTGTACTAGGAAGTACATCAGCCCCAAAGCAGTAAGGGGACAAGAAGGGCTTCCCCAACACTTCTTGCAGGGGCCCATGTCCATGGAGAGCCAGGGTCCCAAAGCAGTGAGTTGCAAGGAGCCTTTTAGGCCCTTATCTTACCCCATGGCTAGTGCTGGGTAAGTTCCGTCTCTATGGGGAGCCATTGCTCTTTCATGCAGGACTCAACAAACATCTGTCTGTGCTGCTGTGTTATACCCCTGGCTTCTGTCTGGACAGGCTTTGGCTAGCTGTCGTTCATGCAGCACTTGTGCCATACACTGCCAGCAGCTTCCTACCAGGCATTAAGCCAGCAGAGTAAATGTTGACCCCCTCCCCTGCAATTTTTTGTAATTGGGTTGATAATTGCCTCCATTAAAGATCCTAGCTCTTCTCATTCCCCATTTCTTCCTCATTGATAGTTTCTCTACGTTGGGCCTGTGCCCAGAAACTGCTTAGGTAACAGCACAGGCAGAAGCCTGTCCAAGTTCTGCTGTCCACAGACAGGAGCCTCACATGGCTCTTTTCCTTGCCTTTTCTCCATCTCTGGAAGGAGCATATTTGCTAAGGCTCCTGTAAAGCACTGCTTCCAGCAGCCTGGGCCTGCCAGCCCGAGGCAGGAACAGGGCACAGCAGAAGGCACTAGGACATGGTTCATGGATCATCAAGGAGCACATTTGTGATGGGCCGGCATCAGAAATGATGCTCAGGGGCAATCAGCATGGATTTATTAAGGGGAGATCATGTCAGACCAACCTGATTGCCTTTTATGATCAGGTCACAAAGGCCATGGACGCAGGTGTCGCGGTGGATGTAGTCTTTCTGGACTTCAGTAAGGCCTTTGACACCGTCTCTCACCCCATCCTAATTAATAAACTAGGCGACTGTGGCATAGATGCCTACACAGTCAGATGGATTGCAGATTGGCTGAAGGGTCGCACTCAGAGGGTGGTGGTGGATGGATCATACTCGACTTGGGGGGAGGTGGGTAGTGGAGTCCCCCAGGGCTCAGTCCTGGGGCCTGCGCTGTTCAATTTCTTCATCAGCGATCTTGATGTTGGGGTGGAAAGCAACCTGTTTAAATTCGCTGATGACACCAAAATTTGGGGGGAGGTGAGCACGCTAGCAGGGAGAGAGAGATTGCAGAAGGATCTGGATAGGTTACAGGGGGGGGCAAACAGGAACAGGATGTGTTTCAATACGGACAAGTGCAGGGTGCTGCACTTGGGTAGTAGGAACCAGCAGCACACTTATACGATGGGGAACTCCCTACTTGAGAGCACGGAGGCGGAAAGGGATCTTGGTGTCATTATTGACTCCAAGATGAACATGGGCCAACAATGCGAGGTCATGGTTGGCAGGGCTAACCGGACCTGGTCGTGCATCCACAGGTGCATCTCGAGTAGAGCCAGGGAGGGGATCCTCCCCCTCTATGCGACGCTGGTCAGGCCGCAGCTGGAGTATTGTGTCCAGTTCTGTGCGCCCCCTTTCAGGAGGGATGTGGACAACATGGAGAGGGTCCAGAGGAGGGCCCCCCGCATGATCCGGGGACAACAGGGCAGGCCCTACAGTGAGAGACTGCGGGACCTGAACCTATTCAGCCTCCCCAAGAGAAGGCTGAGGGGGGACCTGGGGACCGTCTATAAACTCACTAGGGGGAACCAGAAGGGTTTGGGGGAGACGCTGCTTCCCCTAGCCCCCGCTGGCATAACAAGGAGTAATGGGCACAAGTTGATGGAGAGGAGGTACAGATTGGACATCCGAAAAAACTACTTCACAGTTAGGGCGGCTAGGAGCTGGACCCAACTTCCAAGGGAGGTGGTGCTGGCCCCTACCCTGGGGATCTTTAAGAAGAGGCTGGATACTTACCTGGCTGGACTCATTTGAGTCCCGTTTTTGTTTTTAGGGTGTTTTTTGGGGGGGGTTGTTTTTGTTTTTTTTGGGGGGTTGTTCTCCCGCCCTGGCGGGGGGTCGGGCTAGAAGATCTATTAGGTCCCTTCCGACCCTGTAACTATGAAACTATGGTCACTACCCTTTTATGCCTGTGGAAGGTAGTGCCACCCCTTATAATTCCACACTCCATCGGAGAGGGGTTTCTGTTCCCTCTCAGTGCCTCAGACAGCTCAGGATGGAAGCTCCCAGAACCCTATGCTGTGTGGGAGTTATGGCCTCAGGCCAAGGGGAGCAGTAATACCCAGTAAAGAAGTAACACCCAGTGGAGCAAATTGCATTCCTCTGCTGGGCAGAGAAACAGAGCAAGTGAGCTGGGGCTACCTGCCAGGGGGCTCGCTAGGACACAGTAACATCCAATCATGCTCTTCACTTGGACGGCTGCAGCAGATGGGCTCCCCCATACTGCCATATACCTACTTCACTCTCCTGCACCTGTGTGGGGAGGCAGTCAGCATGTTCCTACCTGGATGGGACAAAGGTGCCCACAGCTCCAGACAGCTGAATCAAGCAGCAAAGGGCTAGCAGCAAAGCAGAGCCAAAGTACCCCCAGCAAAGCAACAAGCCCCATGGACTCCCAACCACTCCTCAGACGTTGAGTGGGAAAGGTAACTAGTAGGGTGAAAGTGCTAGACTTTAGGAAAGCTGATTTCAATGAACTCAGGTGATTAGTCAAGGACGCACTGCAGAGTAGGAGTTTTGAAGAGATGGGAGCCCAGGAAGGATGGCTGTGCCTTAAGGAAATGATCCTTCAGGCACAGAGGGAGATGATCCCAATGCGAGGAAAAAGAGGGAAAGGGGCCAGGAGGCTTCCTTGGCTAACCATAGAAATCCAGGGCAGCCTGCAGACTAAAAGGGGAGCATATAAAAAATGGAAACAGGGAGAGATTACCAAAGAGGAGTATACCTCCTTTGCTCGCACTTGTAGGGAGGCAGTTAGATGGGCCAAAGCTACCATGGAGCTGGGGATGGCATCCCAAGTAAAGGATAACACAAAATTGTTTTTTAGATATATAGGGAGTAAAAGGAAGGCCCAGAGTGGAATAGGACCCCTACTAAATGGGCAGAAGCAATTGGTGATGGACAGGGGGACAAGGCTGAACTCCTCAATGAGTTCTTTGCCTCAGTGTTCCTAAGTGAGGGGCAGGACAAGGCTCTCGCTGGGATTGTAGAGAGGCAGCAGCAAGGCACCAGACTGCCATGCGTAGACCCTGAGATGGTGCAGAGTCACTTGGAGGAACTGGATGCCTTTAAGTCGGCAGGCCCGGATGAGCTCCATCCGAGGGTACTGAAGGCACTGGCTGACGTCATTGCCCAGCCACTGGAAGTAATATTTGAACACTCGTGGTGCACGGGCCAGGTCCCGGAGGACTGGAAAAGGGCCAATGTGGTCCCCATTTTCAAGAAGGGGAGGAAGGAGGACCCAGGCAACTATAGGCCAGTCAGTCTCACCTCCATCCTAGGCAAAGTCTTTGAAAAAATTATCAAGGCTCACATATGCGAGAGCCCGGCAGGACAAATTATGCTGAGGGGAAACCAGCACAGGTT